GTGACCCAAACATTTTAATTGTAAATTAGTACATTTATAGTTTTATAAGCATATATTAGATTGACAATGTAGTCTGTTCGGCTCTCTTCTTATTACCGTTTCAATATGTACGTGTGTAAAACCTAGCATCCCACATTTCCTTTCATCATATACAGTACATATGGTATGGGTCCCTTTACCACACATATTCTTCATACAAACTTGTTTTCATAAATTCAAAGAAACTGGATTTCGGACTACCATGAATTCAAACATAGATAACATGCACACAATTTGTAAACCTTAATTATATAAGATGCCAGAGCAGAAAAATACAATTGTCAATATAATTTGGAGTCAAATACAAAATTGATTAAAATTAATACATGTCTGAAGAAAAGAGGTGAACATATTGCTGCTAAAATGTGCAGAGCATTAGTCAACTATATACAATCTAGTAAATAAAGTATTTCAATTTTAGAATAAACAATACATTTTCACAAATCATCTGATTATCTGTCCTGTCATCCAACAAATTCCTGTGACTGGTTTAATTATCAACATGCATACGTGTATTAGACCCAGATCATCCCACATCAGATAATATATGGTATTGGATTTCGAAACTTCAATACCCCTCAAATACTGGCTTATATGTACTTACTACTTAGTGCATGTACATAATTAGTCTCTATTTGTCAGATATAATATGCTATACAATTTATATACACTGCACAATTTATACACACTGCTCGACTTACAATGTATGAAGGAAAGCCATTATGCTGACCTTATCATGTTACTAATTACATGACATTGACCTTGTTCAAACTTGATATGCTATACTAAATGTGATATGATATGCATAGTTGCATACAACACTACAGGTGTTACCAAGTTAACTGACAATGAACTAACAATGAAAAGATGCAACAAATTCAGCAACAAGGAACAATGATAAGACACAACACATTCAGTAAAAAAAGGCTGTATAGGTCACAGGTATACCATATCATATAACTACAGCTGTATAGGTCACAGGCATACCATATTATACAACTACAGCCGTATAGGTCACAGGCATACCATATCATATAACTACAGCTGTATAGATCACAGGCATACCATATCATATAACTACAGCTGTATAGGTCACAGGCATACCATATCATATAACTACAGCTGTATAGGTCACAGGCATACCATATCATATAACTACAGCTGTATAGGTCACAGGCATACCATATCATATAACTACAGCTGTATAGGTCACAGGCATACCATATCATATAACTACAGCTGTATAGGTCACAGGCATACCATATTATACAACTACAGCCGTATAGGTCACAGGCATACCATATCATATAACTACAGCTGTATAGATCACAGGCATACCATATCATATAACTACAGCTGTATAGGTCACAGGCATACCATATCATATAACTACAGCTGTATAGGTCACAGGCCTACCATATCATATAATTACAGCTGTATAACTCACAGGCATACAATATCATATAACTACAGCTGTATAGGTCACAGGCATACCATATAATTACAGCTGTATAGGTCACAGGCATACCATATAATTACAGCTGTATAGGTCACAGGCATACCATATAATTACAGCTGTATAGGTCACAGGCATACCATATAATTACAGCTGTATAGGTCACAGGCATACCATATAATTACAGCTGTATAGGTCACAGGCATACCATATAATTACAGCTGTATAGGTCACAGGCATACCATATAATTACAGCTGTATAGGTCACAGGCATACCATATAATTACAGCTGTATAGGTCACAGGCATACCATATAATTACAGCTGTATAGGTCACAGGCATACCATATAATTACAGCTGTATAGGTCACAGGCATACCATATAATTACAGCTGTATAGGTCACAGGTATACCATATAACTACAGCTGTATAGGTCACAGGCATACCATATAATTACAGCTGTATAGGTCACAGGCATACCATATAATTACAGCTGTATAGGTCACAGGCGTACCATATAATTACATCTGTATAGGTCACAGGCATACCAAATAATTACAGCTGTATAGTTCACAGGTGTACCATATAACTACAGTTGTATAGGTCACAGGCATACCATATAATTACAGCTGTATAGGTCACAGGCATACCAATTAACTACAGCTGTATAGGTCACAGGCATACCATATCATATAACTACGGCTGTATAGGTCACAGGCCTACCATATCATATAATTACAGCTGTATAGGTCACAGGTGTACCAAATAACAACAGTTGTATAGGTCACAGGCATACCATATAATTACAGCTGTGTAGGTCACAGGCATACCATATCATATAATTACAGCTGTATAACTCACAGGCATACAATATCATATACCTACAGCTGTATAGGTCACAGGCCTACCATATCATATAATTACAGCTGTATAGTTCACAGGAGTACCAAATAATTACACCTGTATAGGTCACAGGTGTACCAAATAACAACAGTTGTATAGGTCACAGGCATTCCAAATAATTACAGCTGTGTAGGTCACAGGCATACCATATACTTACAGCTGTATAGGTCACAGGTATACCTTATAACTACAGCTGTATAGGTGACAGGCATGCCAAATAATTACAGCTGTATAGTTTACAGGTGTACCAAATAACTACAGTTGTATAGGTCACAGGCATTCCAAATAATTACAGCTGTGTAGGTCACAGGCATACCATATACTTACAGCTGTATAGGTCACAGGTATACCATATAACTACAGCTGTATAGGTGACAGGCATGCCAAATAATTACAGCTGTATAGGTCAAAGGCATACCATATAACTACAGATGTATAGGTCACAGGTATACAATATAACTACAGCTGTATAGGTGACAGGCATGCCAAATAATTACAGCTGTATAGGTCACGGGTGAACCAAATAATTACAGCTGTATAGGTCAAAGGCATACCATATAACTACAGATGTATAGGTCACAGGTATACAATATAACTACAGCTGTATAGGTGACAGGCATGCCAAATAATTACAGCTGTATAGTTCACAGGTGTACCAAATAATTACACCTGTATAGGTCACAGGTGTACCAAATAACAACAGTTGTATAGGTCACAGGCATACCATATAATTACAGCTGTGTAGGTCACAGGCATACCAATTAACTACAGCTGTATAGGTCCCAGACAAACCATATAACTACAGCTGTATAGGTCACAGGCATACCATATAATTACAGCTGTATAGGTCACAGGCATACCATATAACTACAGCTGTATAGGTGACAGGCATACCAAATAATTACAACTGTATAGTTCACAGGTGTACCAAATAATTACAGCTGTATAGTTCACAGGTGTACCAAATAACTACAGCTGTATAGGTCACAGGCATACCATATAATTACAGCTGTATAGGTCACAGGCATACCATATAACTACAGCCGTATAGGTCAGAGGCATACCATATGATTACAGCTGTATAAAGGACAAGCATACCAAATAATTACAGCTGTATAGGTGACAGGCATACCATATAACTACAGCTGTATAGGTCACAAGCATACCATATAATTACAGCTGTATAGGTCACAGGCATACCATATAACAAAGCTGTATAGGTGACAGGCATACCAAATAATTACAGCTGTATAGTTCACAGGTGTACCAAATAATTACAGCTGTATAGTTCACAGGTGTACCAAATAACTACAGCTGTATAGGTCACAGACATACCAAATAATTACAGGTGTATAGTTTACAGGTGTACCAAATAACTACAGCTGTATAGGTCACAGGCATACCATATAATTACAGCTGTATAGGTCACAGGCATACCATATAACAAAGCTGTATAGGTGACAGGCATACCAAATAATTACAGCTGTATAGTTCACAGGTGTACCAAATAATTACAGCTGTATAGTTCACAGGTGTACCAAATAACTACAGCTGTATAGGTCACAGGCATACCAAATAATTACAGATGTATATGTCACAGGTGTACCAAATAACTACAGTTTTATAGCTCACATGCATACCATATAATTACAGCTGTATAGGTCACAGGCATACCAAATAATTACAGCTGTATAGCTCACAGGCATACCATATAACTACCGCTGTATAGGTCACATGCATACCATATAACTACAGCTGTATAGGTCACATGCATACCATATAACTACAGCTGTATAGGTCACAGGCAGACCATATAACTACCGCTGGATAGGTCACATGCATACCATATAACTACAGCTGTATAGGTCACAGGCAGACCATATAACTACCGCTGGATAGGTCACATGCATACCATATAACTACAGCTGTATAGGTAACAGGCATACCAAATAACTACAGCTGGATAGATCACAGGCATACCAAATAATTACAGCTGTATAGGTCACAGACATACCAAATAACTATAGCTGTATAGGTCACAGGCATACCAAATAAGGTCAAAGGGATACCAAATAACTACAGCTGTATAGGTCACAGGCATACCAAATAAGGTCAAAGGTATACCAAATAATTACAGCTGTATGACAATTGGTAGTGAAGTGTTTGTTCCTAAGCTTCTTATACGATGTATGGTATGCCTTTATGGTGTTGTGTGACTTAACAACTAAACATTTTTTATCCTAATTATGTGTATACGTCATGTCCCTTCAGTTCAGCACCATTAAATATAAATCTAATTTATGCCTGATTCCAAGTAAATATCACCATGGCAAGCTTGTAAGACATGTTAAGTGCATAAACAACTAGAACACTTCAAATGAATTGAAAATGGCCGTTTTTATTAAAAAAGACATGTTTATATAAAAACTTTATCTTTTAAAGTTTTTGTCCAATGTACTTAAAAGTCTTAGATGGGGTAAGAAAACGCCCATTTAAGAAGAAATCATATTGAGAAGGAGGCAAGAAGGGGAGGTGGTGGGTAATAAAATTCACTTAGATATTTTTTCAAAATTAGATCATGATGTAAAAAGAAGGTACACACCTTGTTCCTCCATCATCTTCAGCAGGCTAGTGACCTAGGGTCAGCTAGTGCACATACTTATATAGGGTGCTAAGAATAGCCACAAATTCATACGACTTTTGACCTTCTCACCTCCTTCTAATGGTCACCGTCCGCTCATATCAATCATAGATACAACAAATACAGTACTTTAATATTCATGATATTGAAACATAATAAAAAACAAAGTATTACTAGGACATTCATAAATTGCATTAAACCAGGTTTAATTTGTATTTATATTTAGACTTCACATTGAACGGTCATTAATGTGTTTCTATGTGTTTCATACAAAGAGAGGTAACTGTTTCTATGCATTTATATGAAAATAAGAAAGAAATGCTGAAAAAAACGTTAGAAATAAATACAAAATACTACTACTCGGCGACCTCAATTCTAAAAAAGTTTTTAAATAGGATTAAATAGGACCTTTTAAGACATTCAGATATATTTGAACTGGAGACCGAAGATGAAGCGTTTGAAAATATATATAGGACTATAAAAAACTGAATAAGTCTAAACATCCCACTGATAAAGTATTTTCAATTTCAAAATGGATTAACTATGATCATCAATTACTCGACTTACGTAAATGCAGTTATTTATATATAAGACAACGAAACTGTTAAAACAACACGTTGACTATTTTATCCTAACTTTCATTAATTTACCGCACGTTAAACATTTTATAGTTCAAAATTTACTACTCAAATATAACATTCAAATACGGATACAGTACTTATGTATTTAACTACAAATACTTGTTATTATATGGAAATAGTTCAAGAGTATTATTTTGTACATTACAATATACAACGGCGCTGAAGACCAAACATTAATTCTATACAAGCCGAACAATTCATGATATTGAGACGAGTACCGTATTCACACTGTTGGCTCCTGCTCAGACAATGGCCGCCATCGACTGTGTCCCTAATGTGGTCGTCATCGTCTGATAAACCCTTATGTCCACAGATTAGTACGACGTTTAAATTAACAAAACGTACGAAAGTTTGGAAGAATGAACAATACCGTTAAACTCAATAAATAATAAAAGTTACACCGTATACATGGTATGTATGTTGTATTGACGCTGACGATTAGTCTTGTTTAGTCAACGACAAGAACTAGCAACTGACAATATAGAGGCCTATGTCCACTTCTGTATGAATAATGATACAAACAGCTTTCATACATAATAAACATATAAGTATTAAGTTTAATTTTAACGCATGACTTCGTTTTCGTACATTCGTGATCGGAGTTTTAAATCATTCCGCTGGGGACAGCCTAGTTTGAGGAAAAGGAACATCGACCTCATAGCCATGTAAGTTACATTGTCACATGTTTTCAGTAATAATGAAATATGTCGGTGATTGGAAACGAAGTGAACTGTTTTCCCCGAAATTAACGTGTTTCTGCTGTTATCTAACGTAGGACATGAAGTTAATACAATTATAGGATAATGAATGTAGGACTTGTATTAATAATGTTTTGTTTTATCATTTAATACTTTGTATAGTTATATCGATAGGAATTTGGTTTTCACAAAACTGTTTGATGATGTTTATACATAAGTTAAGTAATCTTAGTTGTGAATTCATCAGGCTACGGTTCGTATCGGTATTGTTTTACACACAATCAAAAATGAATACAATTTCATCTACTCTAGGAAATTATTTTGAATAGTGTCTTTCCTAAATACATCTGCATCTTAATGTAAGCGACATGTAGGTAATCTTAGTTGTGAATTCATCAGGCTACGGTTCGTATCGGTATTATTTACCACACAATTAAAAATGAATACAATTTCATCTACTCTAGGAAATTATTTTGAACAGTGTCTTTCCTAAATACATCTGCATCATAATGTAAGCGACATGTAGGTATGTTAATACTTCAACCGAGATGAATACCGAGTGAATGACATCAGGTTTGTAGCTGAAAGGCGATTACATACTATGTAATATATTATGTCCGTTTATCTTCCAGGAAAACCTATACATTCTATGATTAACTGAATCATCCCACTTCATCAGTCTTGACTCAATTTAAGTGTTTCAGCTGTTACGTCACTGCGCATGTCCTGAACAGACGACCTGAAACATGGGGTGCTCAAAGTGCTATTTGATAGTATTCAACACAATATTTCTGGTAAGTGTTCCACGTTTTGAAATGATGAACTGTAGAATGCTAGAAGCCATATTTAGTTTAATTCATTGAAGTTATCTTTAACAGTATTTGATAGGAGGAACATTATGTATAAACAACTGGTCATTACAATCCGGAAACACGTTACTACATGTAAGTACGAAAAAATGTATACATGTATCACCATTTGATTGAAATTTAACGCTTGCCTAGACGACATTTTTTAAAACTATTTAAATATGATGCACGTAGACAGAAATTACTTAAATTAAATAGTTTTCTAAACCTTGTTTTGTACTAATGATCCGATGTAAGGGTCCAGGGCATGGTTTTATTCAGTGTCTATGTTATCTATAAATGTTGTTTCTTATTAATGATACTGTTACATTGTACCTGTTAACTGGTGTTGTTTCATTTCGTTTTCATGTAAACTTGAAATTTTGCTTTGTCCAATGTAAACTGATGTTGTCTTTTCGTTTCCAAGTTTATTTCAGTTGTTGCCATTGTTTGTGATTTTTGTTGTTTTAAAAATATTTGTATAACGCAATGCGTCAAGACACTATTTTTAAATTGAATCTATACACGTATTATGCTACTGACCGTTATAAAGTATAACAGTAACACTCTTAAATACATCATTTGTACGTTTAATCTTCAAACATATAGCAAGTTAATTAGCAGCCATAAGGCTGACAATGTCCCTTTCTTTCATTATGCTGTCGGCATTGTTTTCTTATGGTGATGTTTTGATTCTTTTCGTTAATTTTGATTTACATATTTTCGTTATTGATGCTAGTATTTCTATCCATTAGTTTTTTGGCGGGGGATGCCTGGCCGGAGGGATCTTCATCCTGCTGGATAAGAGTGAGATCCTAGTGTTGACTAGGAGCGCCACCAGCTCCCTCAATGCAGACGACGTCGTGACGCCGTCACTCCTCGAGTCGGCCGCCTACGCCTTCATCGGCCTGGGCGGCTTCGTCTTCATAACGGCGCTAATGGGCTTCTGTGGAGCGTGCTGTGAAAACAACAAATGTCTCATCATAGTAAGTGCCACTCTGACATACTTTTACTTAGTGGTGCTAGCATCATGTCGTCATCTTTAATTTTGAATGTTAGATTTGGGGATTTGACGCAATGGCTGCATAAACATAGTACCAAGGGTATTACGCTTGGTAAAGCAATCGACGCTATACCAAAGAGTGTGACATTTTTGGAGCTAAGCAACATTTTATTTGGTTCTTGTCAATGCCTTCAAATGCATCATTCCTTTCTTCGTTGTTGCAGTACATTGTGATCGTGGTGACCATTATGCTCGGACAAGGTACAGCGGTCGTCTTGTCTATCGTCTATAAGGATCAGGTAAGTGGTCAATAAGGGGTCATAATCAACAGGCAGGTGTCAACACGGGGTCTTAATAAACAATTAGTAGTCAACACGAGGTCTTCAGCAATAGTTAGTGGTCAACACGGGGTCTCCAGCAACAGGTAGTGGTCAACACCGGATGTTAAAAGCAAAAGGTATTGGTCAATACGTGATCTTAAAAGCAACAGGTATTGGTCAACACGGGGTCTTAAAAGCAACAGGTAGTGGTCAACACGGAGTCTTTAACTACACGTAGTGGTCAACACTGGATCTTAAAAGCAACACGTAGTGGTCAACACTGGATCTTAAAAGCAACACGTAGTGGTCAACAGTGGATCTTAAAAGCAACGGGTAGTGGTCAACACGGGGTCTTAAAAGCAACAGGTAGTGGTCAACACGGGGTCTTCAACTACACGTAGTGGTCAACACTGGATCTTAAAAGCAACACGTAGTGGTCAACACTGGATCTTAAAAGCAACGGGTAGTGGTCAAAATGGGGTCTTAAAAGCAACAGGTAGTGGTCAACACGGGGTCTTCAACTACATGTAGTGGTCAACACTGGATCTTAAAAGCAACACGTAGTGGTCAACACTGGATCTTAAAAGCAACACGTAGTGGTCAACACTGGATCTTAAAAGCAACAGGTAGTGGTCAACACGGAGTCTTAAAAGCAACAGGTAGTGGTCAACACGGGGTCTTAAAAGCAACACGTAGTGGTCAACATGGGGTCCTAAAAGCAACAGTAAGTGGTCAACACGGGGTCTTAAAAGCAACACGTAGTGATCAAAATGGGGTCTTAAAAGCAATAGGTAGTGGTCAACACCGGGTATTAAAAGCAATAGGTAGTGGTCAACACGGGGTATTAAGAGCAACACGTAGTGGTCAACATGGGGTCTTAAAAGCATCAGTAAGTGGTCAACACGGGGTCTTAAAAGCAACACGTAGTGGTCAACATGGGGTCTTAAAAGCAATAGGTAGTGGTCAACACGGGGTATTAAAAGCAATAGGTAGTGGTCAACATGGGGTATTAAAAGCAACAGGTAGTGGTCAACACGGGGTATTAAAAGCAACAGGTAGTGGTCAACACGGGGTCTTAAAAGCAACACGTAGTGGTCAACATGGGGTCTTAAAAGCAATAGGTAGTGGTCAACACGGGGTATTAAGAGCAACAGGTATTGGTCAACATGGGGTCTTAAAAGCAACAGTTAGTGGTCAACACGGGGTCTTAAAAGCAACACGTAGTGGTCAACATGGGGTCTCAAAAGCAATAGGTAGTGGTCAACACGGGGTATTAAGAGCAACAGGTATTGGTCAACATGGAGTCTTAAAAGCAACAGTAAGTGGTCAACATGGGGTCTTAAAAGCAATACGTAGTGGTCAACATGGGGTCTTAAAAGCAATAGGTAGTGGTCAACACGGGGTATTAAAAGCAATAGGTAGTGGTCAACATTGGGTCTTAAAAGCAAGAGGTATTGGTCAACATGGGGTCTTAAAAGCAACAGTAAGTGGTCAACACGGGGTATTAAAAGCAACAAGTATACTCAATATACCCAACAAAGTCTTTACACAAAGACAAAACGGAGTATCAGGAGTATTAAAAGTTGAGCTGAGATCGGTTCTTCAACCACCGAGTCAAGAACAGGTCTCCAACCATCGAGTCAATAACATGTCTCCAACCATCGAGTCAAGAACAGGTCTCTAACCACCGAGTCAAGAACAGGTCTCTAACCACCGAGTCAAGAGCAGGTCTCTGCTCACCGAGTCAAGAACAGTTCTCCAACCATCGAGTCAAGAACAGGTCTCCAACCACCGAGTCAAGAACAGGCCTCCAACCACCGAGACAAGAACAGGTCTCTAACCACCTAGTCAAGAACAGGCCTCTGCTCACCGAGTCAAGAACAGTTCTCCAACCATCGAGCCAAGAACAGGTCTCCAACCACCGAGTCAAGAACAGTTCTCCAACCACCGAGTCAAGAACAGGTCACTAACCACCGAGTCAAGAACAGGTCTCCAACCATCGAGTCAATAACATGTCTCCAACCATCGAGTCAAGAACAGGTCTCTACCCACCGAGTCAAGAACAGGTCTCTGCTCACCGAGTCAAGAACAGGTATCCAACCCCCGAGTCAAGAACAGGTCTCCAACCACAGAGTCAAGAACAGGTCTCCAACCACAGAGTCAAGAACAGGTCTCCAACCACAGAGTCAAGAACAGGCCTCCATCCACCGAGTCAAGAACAGGCCTCCAACCACCGAGTCAAGAGCAGGTCTCCAACCACCGAGTCAAGAACAGGTCTCCAACCATCGAGTCAAGAACAGGGCTCTGCTCACCGAGTCAAGAACAGTTCTCCAACCATCGAGCCAAGAACAGGTCTCCAACCACCGAGTCAAGAACAGGCCTCCATCCACCGAGTCAAGAACAGGTCTCTAACCACCGAGTCAAGAACAGGTCTCCAACCATCGAGTCAAGAACAGGTCTCCAACCATCGAGTCAAGAACAGGGCTCTGCTCACCGAGTCAAGAACAGTTCTCCAACCATCGAGCCAAGAACAGGTCTCCAACCACCGAGTCAAGAACATGCCTCCAACCACCGAGTCAAGAACAGGTCTCCATAATGGCCGAGGGAGAGTACAAGTGAAGTGTAAACAAACGAAATGTATTGAAACCATCAAAACTAAAGTGTTGGCGACACGGAGACCTTATTCTAAACAAATTACAGCCTTTATTGGTATACAAATAAGGTCCAAATAGGGACGCATACTTCCATGCCATGCCGACAAAGACCTGTCTTACACTTAATGTGTTAACTCTTCTTTTTTCTTTGTAACCATAATGGCATTACAGTCTGCCGTGATGTTGTGGTACACGTAACACGCTACAGTAGATCCTTCAAAAAGATTTTGACAAACTAGCGCTCTGGGAAAATACATGGAAAATGATCTTCCACCCAAACAAATGCAATGTGTTGTCGGTGACTAAAAACAAAACTCCAATAGTCCATTATTATACTTTACATGGACACATACTGGAACATCTTAGTCAGGCCAAGTATCTGGGTGTAACACTATCATCTGACCTTAAATGGGATTCACATATAAATACTATCTGCCCAAAAGCAAATTCTACGCTAGGCTTTTTAAAACGAAATCTTAAAATTGGCTCAATATCAGCCAAAGTACAGGCATACAAATCATTAGTTCGTCCATCACTTGAGTATGCCTGTACAGTATGGGACCCTCACACCCAAACCAATATTGACAAGTTGGAAATGGTCCAGCGAAGGGCAGCGCGCTATGTGCTCAATAAGCACAGGTACAACCATCGTACCTCCAGTCAGAAATGTTCGACCACCTAAAGCTGCGCCCTCTAGCAGATAGACGTAGAGATGCTCGTCTGACCATGCTTCATAACATTGTAAACCAGAAAGTCGCTATCGTAAAATCAAACAGATTAATCCCTACAGTTAGAAAATCCCGAACAAACCACCAGTTTTCGAATCTAATTCCCCACTCAAAAACCCAGACCAGAAAGGCATCTTTCTTCCCTCGAACTATACCCGAGTGGAATAAACTCCCACCTGACATTATTTCGAGCCCCACAACGGAATTATTTAAATCAGCCCTCTACCGTCACTTTTCAAACGCAAATTAGACCATCTCGTATCTTTTAAAAACAATCGCTTTCCATGTTTCACTCCACGTCTGACATTTTATCTTCAAATTGTTGAAATTGGTCAGTACCATTTAGAAGTAGAAGAAGTAGAAGTAGATTTGCTACAGCAGAACCGGGATAGGAATGTCGGGGAAGTAATTGTTTCTCCGAATTTGATATCCGCGAATATATAATTTGTGATTTAAAAAAGTATATGAAGGATTTGACAAATGCAACGTCAAACGTGAGTAACACATGGATGGTTGTGGTGGTTTGTAATGTCTAGAGTATGTCAAGATACAGGTTATACCGCTTTGGTTATTAGACATACGTTTACTGATGTGGACACTGTGTTGGTGTGTTTACAGTTTGACACATACGCCCGCGATAACCTCAAGACGCTACAACAAAGTCGCTACAAGGGGCCGTACGACACCTCCGACATTGTTAGCCTCGCTTTTGACGTTGTGCACATCTATGTAAGTATCACAATTATTTAGCGTCCTTTCTTTACGATTTCCATGTATTTTGATTTAATAACGCAGAAGGGTGATAAGTTAAGTCACTTTATCCCATTTCAGTAAAATGATTATTAATCTTTAATTTTATTTTATTTCTGATATATCCATCTGGCGGAATACGAGTTGTTATTCATTAATATATGGGGTTGGTCTCGGGGGGCGTTTTTTCCGTGTTTGGTAAATGTTTTTCAGGTATTTTTTATGTATAATCCATTGTTTCACGTCTCCATGTCGCTGAGTACTGGTAATACATCTTGTAGTTCCAATGCTGCGGTGTGGACACTGGGGCGGAATACGCCTCCATCTCAAATTGGAACACGTCGTATGCGTACGACGCCGGTGGCGGAAGCTATGTAGTGGGCGTGGCCACTATCCCTGCGACCTGCTGCGAGTTCTCCGACACCGCCTTGTTCCCAAGTGACATCACAGGATTCCTCAACTCCATGACTAATAACACGTGTCCTGTCACGCAGGCGAGCTCGTATTACTCCACGGTAAAGTAAAATTTTACAAAAAGTAACTTACGGTTTCGGTATGACTTCGTGCTTACACAAGTTATGCCAAAGTTTTGGTTTAGTTTTGTTTAATTTTGTTTGGCGTCCTATTAACAGCTAAGGTCATTGAAGGACGTGCCTCTATGTGTGTAGTATATGCGTGCTTGTGTGTGTGTATGCAGGATACAGGGTATGTTGGGGTGCTTGCCTCCTTGTGATAGCGCGGATCTGATGCCGACTGTATAGTGATATCTCACTGAAATACCATGCCGAAACAATCCAGCACAGCATTCCGCCCGGTCACATTATACTGACAACGGGTGAACCAGTTGGTGCCATTCCCCCTAAATTGTGAACGTTAAGCAGGGAATAACAACTACCATTTTTAAGGACTTTGGTATGTCCCGGCCTAGGGACAGAAACCATTGCCTTCATCACCGAATGCTCAACATTAAGGCCAAAAGTTAGGTGTTGCCAAGCAAGGCTCTAAGAATTAAAAGANTTGCCTTCCTCACCTGGGCGAACGCTCAACATTAAGGCCAAAAGTGTGGTGTTGCCAAGCAAGGCGCTAGGAAATATAAGCCAAAGAACAAGAAATCAAATAATTGTGCTACTTCTGTACCAGGTTCAAAAATACTATTGAGAGACTGCATGTTAGACCAGCAGGATAATAGTCCATCGTCTTACTGTTTCACTCTTACCGCCAATACTGCCCAATAACCGATTTTGCAGCAATGGTGTTCTAATTGAGATGTTTAAATTTATTCTAGAAATTTTACGGTAGCATTTATCTGGTTTCTACGGTGGCTGCTTTGTACCACTTCGTTGCAGCTTTTTCGCCCAGGCGAAAGACAAGATCAATCTGACCAATCTTTAGTCTTGTCGTTTCGTGTTTTGTCTCCGAAAAAACGAACCTGGCCTTTTCCTGGTGAAAAGAAGAAACAACGAAATGGCACAACTGAGTCACCGTAGATGTCCAACCATTATTTGTATGCGTCTGCCACGATGACATACATGTCTTCTATTATTTAAACCGTTGTTATCGTGACCGGAGACACGTGGTCCAATAAACGTTTACCTTTGGTTTCTCTTTAGTCCCTGTTGTTGTTTAGATGTATGACCACATTCAATGGTGCTGCTATGTCACTTATTATTGATTTGTATTAATTTACGTTATCGTTGGTTATGATAAAGTTTCGAGTTGTTCCATATTTCAGTGTTCAATGTGTTCGCTTTCTCCTTGTTGCTTGTGTTATGCTGTTTCAATCCGCGTTTCCTGTGTTAAAGGGTTGTTATGAGGCCATCAAGGAACGCTTCAGTCAGTACTTCAACATTGTCATAGGTGTGGGAGCCGGCATCGGAGGACTAGAGGTAGGGCCGATATAGTACAGTTAACCCTCGATATAATGCCCCTCATTTGCCACCTCGTTTATAACGCCTACATATTTCAATGTTCCCTTTTCTCGTTTCATTAATAATTCCTTTATACATTTTCTCGATGTTTTCGCGAAACCTCTTAATAACGCCAAACTACTCTGGGCAAATGGTGGCAGTATAACGAGGTTTTACTGTATATAATGTACTAACATCTCTTATTTACTTAATTCAGTTTGTCCAAGGAACGGAGCGTTCCACCTACTTTCAAAACTAGTATATCAATTAATCATCGTTCACGGAAATATTTAAATCAGATATAAATCCGACTTGAAGATATATGATTTATCATAAAGTTCTATTGAAAATAAGCGCCAGACGTCAGCAACCAGTTATAACTTCAGATTTATATTGTAACTTTAAAAAATGGCAATGTGTTCTTAATTTTTTTCAGCTTCTCGGTGTCATTGCCGCGTGTTGCTTGATAAAGAAGGACAAGGACAATGATGAAAAGGACGATTAGGATTTCGTACCATTATCTCTGTGGGGTGGGGGTCTCCGGGGGGATGGGGGAGAGATCGATCGACGTAGTCTTGTGGTTTGAGCTTGGAGGGGTCCACATTAATTGCTGTCTCTGGTTGAGGTTAGGGGTCTAAGTTGGTCTAGATTCCTATCTTTGGTTAAGTTTAGGTCAGGGATGCGTTTACATTCCTGTCTTAGGTTGAATTTGGGGCTGGGAAGGGGCTACATTCCTATCTTAGGTTGAATTTGGGTCTGGGAAGGGGCTATATTCCTATCTTAGGTTGAATTTGGGGCTAGGAAGGGGCTACATTCCTATCTTAGCTTAGGTTGAGTTTGGGGCTGGGAAGGGGCTACATTCCTATCTTCGGTTGAATTTGGGACTGGGAAGGGCTACATTCCTGTCTTAGGTTGAATTTGGGGCTGGGAAGGGCTACATTCCTATCTTAGCTTGAATTTGGGTCTGGGAAGGGGCTATATTCCTATCTTAGGTTGAATTTGGGGCTGGGAAGGGCTACATTCCTATCTTAGCTTGAATTTGGGTCTGGGAAGGGGCTATATTCCTATCTTAGGTTGAATTTGGGGCTAGGAAGGGGCTACATTCCTATCTTAGCTTAGGTTGAGTTTGGGGCTGGGAAGGGGCTACATTCCTATCTTCGGTTGAATTTGGGACTGGGAAGGGCTACATCCCTATCTTAGGTTGAATTTGGGACTGGGAAGGGCTACATCCCTATCTTAGGTTGAATTTGGGACTGGGAAGGGCTACATTTCTATCTTAGGTTGAATTTGGGGCTGGGAAGGAGCTACATTCCTATCTTAGGTTGAATTTGGGGCTGGGAAGGGCTACATTCCTATCTTAGGTGGAATTTGGGTCTGGGAAGGGGCTATATTCCTATCTTAGGTTGAATTTGGGGCTGAGAAGGGGCTACATTCCTATCTTAGGTTGAATTTGGGTCTGGGAAGGGGCTATATTCCTATCTTAGGTTGAATTTGGGGCTAGGAAGGGGCTACATTCCTATCTTAGCTTAGGTTGAATTTGGGGCTGGGAAGGGGCTACATTCCTATCTTAGGTTGAATTTGGGGCTGGGAAGGGCTACATTCCTATCTTAGGTTGAATTTGGGTCTGGGAAAGGGCTACATTCCTATCTTAGGTTGAATTTGGGGCTAGGAAGGGGCTACATTCCTATCTTAGCTTAGGTTGATTTTGGGGCTGGGAAGGGGCTACATTCCTATCTTAGGTTGAATTTGGGGCTGGGAAGGGGCTACATTCCTATTTTAGGTTGAATTTGGGGCTGGGAAGGGGCTACATTCCTATCTTAGGTTGAATTTGGGGCTGGGAAGGGGCTACATTCCTATCTTTAGTTGAGTTTGGGGCTGGGAAGGGGCTACATTCCTATCTTAGGTTGAATTTGGGGCTGGGAAGGGGCTACATTCCTATCGTAGGTTGAATTTGGGGCTGGAGAGGGGCTACATTCCTATCTTTAGTTGAGTTTGGGGCTGGGATGGTTGTTCATTACTACAGTATCTCCAATTGCTTTTTGGGCAGGGATGGGTTTGCATTCCTATATTCCAGATCTTCGGTTGAGCGAGTGGCTGGGTTGGTTTTATGTTTCCATCGTCGATTGAGTTTGGTACTGAGAGGGGTCCACGTCGCGATCTCTGGTGAAGTTAACTGGGGAGAATACAAGCGGAGAGACATAGATGACACGGGAGATAAGAGGTAGAGGGGGTAAGGTCAGGGTAACTGCTTAATAAGTAAGAATACAACAAAGACGCTGGCATCATTCAACATCGTCTATACGATATCACATTCGCCTGTTCAGATATGGTATCTTTGATGTTCAACAAAACACTTGAATTCTTCGCGGAAGCTTAATGCTCGGACACGATGAATAACATTTACAGCAGAGAAGATGACTTACAAACATTCGCATTGTTATACTGTTTCAGTCCTTGTTTGTTGCGGACAGTCTTACAGTACAAAGTAAATTATTGACTTATGACATGTACATATTTGACGGCTGTTATGAATAAGCTGAACAGTTATTTGCTGTCATTGTTAAAGTTAAGTAAGAAAATAAAATAAATTTGAAAGAAAAAATGTTTCGTTATCGTGATGTCAGTCTTTATGGGATGTGCTTGATACTTGACTCAGTGGTTTGATTTGAATTTTTGTATCAGACGACGAGTCACTAAGATGTTTGTGTTTAGGTTGTCACACAGGAATGAGTCACTCCATGATTTAAGCTTTTCATCTGATGACTCCATTACTCTGATATTTGAGTTAATGTTGTGACAGAAGAACGTTTAAACTTTTCAACAGATGAACGAGATACTTAGTGGTTTGAGTAAATGTAATAACAGAGGAACGAGTCACTCAATGATTTATCCTTTTTTTACACGATGACTCAGTTACTCAGTTGATTGAGTCAATGTAATAACAGAGGAACGAGTCACTCAATGATTTATACTTTTTTTTACACGATGACTCAGTTACTCAGTTGATTGAGTCAATGTAATAACAGAGGAACGAGTCACTCAATGATTTATACTTTTTTTACACGATGACTCAGTTACTCAGTTGATTGAGTCACGAGTCACTCAATGATTTATACTTTTTTTTACACGATGACTCAGTTACTCAGTTGATTGAGTCAATGTAATAACAGAGGAAGTAACAAGTGAAATAACATTAAGATTCTGGCTGACTAAACGTTTGAAATCTTTGAACTTTCTCTATTCAATTTCAGGATCCGCAATTCATCAGCAATTTTCTTATCTTCTATAATACGATTCCTATTACCATTCAAGCAAATAATATCGTATGGTCACGCTTATTAAAAGAGTTGCCTCCCTTATAACAGGAGGCAAAAACTTTTCCCGCCGATGATTTATCATTTAAAGCACGTGCTGAAAAGTTGTACAAACGATTAGCAGCATTGACTACACAGCTGTGGTGGAGACAGGCCAGACTACCCCCGAGCATCAACGAGCTCGAGTGTCCAGTTCGGTAAGGTTTACCTGTTTCTGTGTTCCGGACGAAATGCGGTCAGATTTTATGAGCAATTCATGAGCCGATAAGTTGATAGTACCGTTAATTGAGCAATGAAATACAATAAGGGGACATTCGAACAGGAAGTAAGAAGGGCCACTCAGGGGAAGATATGAATGGGCTCTGTGCTGCATGTTAATGTTTTTCTGTGTTGTACAGCTATCATTACCATAGACGGTATTGTTGTGTGTCTCTGGCTTACTTTCAAAATGTGTGGTATTCTTACTTTATTAATTTTGCTGTTTTCTTACATAACCTCGCAATTCTTTGTCAACCCTAAGCTTGTAGTTGGTGTCATGTCTCTCTCGATTCTTTAGGCCAGAAAATAAATGTGTGTGTTCAGGTATATACATCCCGACCTACCCTAGGTTGTCCTGTCGACCCTAGAAATGGTATCGCCTACTTGTATCTCAGATTAATTTGTTGCCAGTCAAAGCCACTCATTAAAATGTACTTTCTTCCTGTTCTGGTAGTCTGGCCCTATTCTCGACAAATTAATGGTCATTGTTATGTATGGAAATATATTGTAAAATTCGATTTTTAAGCATAATATAGAAATGAAAAAAGGAAATTAAAATCAAATTATTTGCCTAATGACACAATATTTTGTTCAAGCATGTACAATGTAATTGTTACCTGAAAAACATATACTATTTATTTTGGCCTCATCCACATTGTATTATAAAGTGTATTTCTTTCTTAGTTTTTTTCAATAGTTTATTTCAATTTACATTTGATATGTTCTAAACAAACATTATATTCTATCACCAAATTATTTGTCTGACTTTCTTCTTGCCTACATTACAGATGTGTTTTGTATAAGATTTATTGCTACATAAAGATACATGGTGTAATTTTGACAAACCAACATTGTGTCATATATGTTTACAAGTATTTGCCATTACTGTTTTGATTTGATATTGTTGTAAAATTTAGATATATTACAAAAACTAAAATTCTAATGAAAGCTTTAGTGCTTCACTCATCTACGAGGTATCATTAAAATATTGTGTTAATTCATGTATTAAATAAAATTAATTTATATTTTGGTAATATACAAATTTAAAAGAAGTTTGTAACAAGAACATGAAATCTTTTTTGAATTTTAGAAAAAAAAAAAGAAAAAAAAATATCAATTCAGAAAACTATCATCCAAATAAAATATCATTTGACCCCATTTCCATGCTTCAAAATTGAATATATTGTGTTGATTTCATTTAATTGAATTTACTTTCTTTATCATGTCAATATGCTTCAGTTTTTACATTATATTTATTGTGTGTCACCAGGCTGAACCATGATATATTGCAGTGTTCTAATCTAGTCTACTAGCAAAACTAATGATATGGTTTTGAAAATAATGTATGCTGATGATGGTATCCCTCGCTTACCAATTTCTGCATATATACAGTTTTTAATTGTAGTTGATTGTACCCATTGTACAGATATATTGTTAAGTCATGGGGAGAATCCATTCTCCGGAGTCTCCAAGATTCGAGTCATAAATCCCTCCCTCATGATATATCAAGTCTTAAGAGTTAATGGCCAAGCGACATTTAATGTTTTCTTCCCAAGTTTTGAAAATTATAGCTCTTCAAAAATTTACCTGATGGATTGTGTGATTCCCTAGCATCAGTAATTCGTGAGCAGTAGACCATGCCAGGCAACATGTAACCAAAAATCGTGGTGATCAGTCGCACATGACTGAATCACTCCAGGCATCTCTATAATCTCCAGTGTTTAAAAGAGCATGACAACCTCATCTTAATTAAAGGAACAGTACAGTTTACTTAGCAAGGTAAAGTTAAGGATAATTCATGAAATTACTGTCGATGATTGGGAGCAGGCATGCTGGGTCAAATTTTACCTAGCTAGGAGTTATATGGAATAAAAAGAAAATGAACATTTTTCATACGGAATCCCTCTGAGGCAGGACCACACCTGAAGACTCAGCAAGATATTAAATCTGTGATTTGATAGCTTATATAAAATGTTACAAAATTAAATAATAGCTGTGAAAGTGTTTTGTGTTTGAAGTGAGAAGTGTGAATGTATTTTTATTCCAGTTATGTTAATTAAGAAGGAGTTAATTACATCCCTTTAACTTTTGTGTTTATAATTTTCATTTCAAAATGAAATCAAATCCAAAATAACAGAATCCATTAATTTAGCCACCGTTGGAGAGAGTTTATATAGGCTTTGCCTGCTATTACATCCAATTGAGTTGTAATAATTTTGTCAATAAAATTTGTTGAAATGAAATGAATATTAAAGGTTAAAAACTATTAAAGATTTTTTGTTTGAAAAGTAAAGAAAACATTGTAGATAGTCAGTTGTTTCATGCCCAGGAGTTGAGACCCATCAGCAAAACTGTTTCCACGAGTCTGAAGTAATTTAGGCCAATGATAGTGGTGGCAGACGAACACTCTACATTTTTAGCTCACCTGGTCTGAAAAGTAAATGACTTTGCAAGGTATTCAAGGTCAAATGGACAAATGTCAACCCTTTTTTTAACAGATTAGAGATGTGAGTGCCTTTGCTTATTTCCTTTCCTGGTAATTGGTAACACATCAAATTACCTGTAAAACCACTCAAACATATTTCTATTTCAATTTATGGGAAATTTAATAAATGCAAAAATTTGCAGTTGTCACTCTACTTGATATGCAACGTTATGAAAGTTTTTGTGCAACATTCATTATTGGTGTATTTTGCTTAGATAAGACTTGTTCTCAAATTCAAATCAAATAAATTCTTGTTATAGCTTATTCTATTTTATTACTTTTATTGTTGCTATATGTGAACTTAGAGAATATATGCATTTTTTTTCCATAGAGAACATATCTAATGTGAATAACAAAATGTAACTAGATATTGGTTTAGCATAGGGAAAGTATACAATTGAAATGAAAAATAAAAATCGTGTTTCTGAGAATCTTGGGTACATCTTTGTATTCTTAGAATACAGAAGAAAAATAAATGATACAAGTTCTCTTTCATGTAGAAGTAGGGATGATCCAGGCAGTTTTTATATGGTACCGGTACAGTATTAGCATCAAAGAATCCTTCGAAGGTGTCTCTTTTGTACAGGCTGACTTTGTGTTGACAACACACAAAACACAGACATTGATTGATCAGTGCAGAATTTTCCTACAGAATTTCCTTTTCATTGTAGTTTGAAATTACCGAGTGAAGCTGAATAAAAAGTATATAATGAATGAATAATTGATTTGCCACTTCTGATACGGAAATTATTACAATCGTTAATGTTTGGTGGGAACTAAGAGTCGTCAGATTGACGCGTTTCCGTGGTTTTCATTGCCTTTCGCCCCTGAATTATCATAATGGATTCACAATTCATTTGATTTGGACTAGTTTACTATGGTCTTTAGTGATGCAAGGTTTTACTACAATTGTCCACAAGAATTTCCACCTTTCTGTCTAATAAAATGGATATCTGTGTCGCTAGAGTTCCGAATTTACATGGCGAATAAATGATCAGAAAGAACAGAAATTTCAGAACTAACATCTATTGATGAAAGAAATCAATTGGGCTGCCTCCAGAGTGTGATGAAGCGTGAAGCTGACTGGCTGCTAGGTCACTGGTGAAGCAGTTTATATTGAATAAATCTCATTTAAACAGTTCAATCAGACGAAGCTAATACTTACAATGAGAGGTCCATAATCCATGTCACAGATTTTCCAGGAATTTCCTCCGGGCATTTATGGTCGGTTTTATGGCTGTTCATACAACCATAAATAGCAATGTTCAAAGCACATTCAGTTTGAAACATGACATACATGAACTACGGTACCATATGTTAGGATTATCAAACATAAAAACATAAAACCTTACACAAATCTTACAGGTATGACGAACATACTTAAAGGTAGCTAGTCACACGAAAAGGCTTACAGGTAAGTCACATATGAAGGCTTTTGGGTAATATAAGTCACATACTGAATGAAGGCTTGCAGATAGTCACACCTGAATATTGCAAGGTAGTCAAAAAGGAAAAAGCTTCAATACTGGAGCCACAGGGAAACCTTTGTCACACCCGAAGACATACATGTAGTCACACATAAAGATAGTCACATATAAAGACATACATGTAGTCACACATAAAGATAGTAACATATAAAGGCATACATGTAGTCACACATAAAGATAGTCACATATAAAGACATACATGTAGTCACACATAAAATAGTAACATATAAAGACATACATGTAGTCACACGTAAAGATAGTCACATATAAAGGCATACATGTAGTCACACATAAAGATAGTAACATATAGAGACATACATGTAGTCACACATAAAGATAGTAACATATAAAGGCATACATGTAGTCAAACATAAAGATAGTCACATATAAAGACATACATGTAGTCACACATAAAATAGTAACATATAAAGACATACATGTAGTCATACGTAAAGATAGTCACATATAAAGGCATACATGTAGTCACACATAAAGATAATAACATATAAAGACATACAGGAAGTCATATGTAAGATTTGCAGTAAGTCACACATAAAGACAAAGAGGTAGTCACACATAAACACATACACGTATTCACACATAAAGACACAGGTATTCACATATAAAGACATAGGTATTCACACATAAAGACATTCAGGTAGTCACATGTAAACACATACAGGTAGTCACACATAAAGACATACAGGAAGTCATATATAAGATTTGCAGTTAGTCACACATAAAGACAAATAGGTAGTCACACATAAACACATACAGGTATTCACACATAAAGGCACAGGTATTCACATATAAAGACAAACAGGTATTCACACATAAAGACATTCAGGTAGTCACATATAAACACATACTGGTATTCACATATAAACACATAAATGTAGTCACATAAAAATACATTCAGGTATTCACACATAAAGACATACAGGTAGTCACATATAAAGACAAACAGGTAGTCACATATAAAGACAAACAGGTAGTCACATATAAAGACATACAGGTATTCACACATAAAGACATACAGGTATTCACATATAAAGACATACAGGTAATCACACATAAAGACATACAGGTATTCACACATAAAGACATACAGGTAGTCACATATAAAGACATAAAGGTAGTCACATATAAAGACATACAGGTACTCACACATAGAGATATACAGGTATTCACACATAAAGACATACAGGTAGTCACATATAAAGACATACAGGTAGTCACACACAATGACATACAGGTAGTCACATATAAAGACATACAGGTAGTCACACATAGAGATATACAGGTAGTCACACCTAGAGATCTAAGGTAGTTATATCTGAAGACTTACAGATAGATACATATAGCCTGTGGTTTATGATTATTTACAAATGACAACCTAGAGATTTACACTGTACATTTAGAGCCTCTCATAGATGTTAAAAGAAAATTAGGAAAGTCTCAGAAAAACGTTAATAAATAAGCCTCAAAAGATTGGCACATAAATTAAAGTGGGCTCAATATTAAATTAGAAAAAATTTAACACAGTTTAAAGCTAACATAATATATTATACAAATTTCAGTGTATGGCTTTTTTAGCCAGTATAATATATCATGTTGTAATTTGGTTGATAACAATCAACAGTCCTTCTGCATGATTTTGAATTTGTTATTGCCTTTGCATTGTAAGTGTTTGACTGCATGTGTACCTGGTAGGGTCGATTCAATACACGGAAGGTGTATTGACCTTTCATGACCTTAATACAATCACAGAAATTCGGTGTTAGTGGGAGAAATTGTCAAATTTGTCAGGTGGTTGACTTTACAAGATTGGAATATATATACCGGGGAGGGTAATTGTGTGAAACAGGTGATGGGAACCGAGAATTAATCAGGTTGCGGAAGGTTTTCTCCAATGTATCCCGATAATGACGGGCTCGGGACTAAGACCTCCTCGGGGTAGCACTGCCAGATTATTTAATTGTTCTCGATGTGGCTGAACTAGCCTCAAGTGGATGTTGAAGCGTTGATAGTTCCTACAGCATTGTTGTACTTCCTACAGCGTTGTGGTCGCCACAGTTGTTATAGATGACAAACAGACAATATCAATTTTTGCCCTGAGCCTTTTTTAGGTTGCTTTGTCGTCGGTTCGCCCATTGTTGACAATGTAGTGAGAGATGTATACGGGCTAGGTGTAGGTGTATTGGCTGGTATATATACGTACTTAGCAGTATCATCGGTATCAAACACCTGTGCCACTCTGTTTGTCACACATCATATCCGTGACATTTTAAACAGTATCTTAATTTTAAGTCTATCCATAGTCACATATGGAGCTCCACTGGACGAAAAAGTGTTCATTTTAATCCGCTATGGTTCAGTGTAAGTACAATATGTTATTTTTACCCTTGCTTAATTCACAAAGTTTGAAGTGACTTGCTTTTTCCCTCCGTCCATGCATGCATCTTATGCATCTTAAAATTCGCCTGACTCTTTCCACAGCATATGTTAACATCAATTCATATATAAGATCATAAATGGTATGCATGTACAACATTTTCACTGGATTTTTATGTAACTTGTAAATGGATGAATGTACAAAAATCTTAATTTCATATGCAGAGAAATTAAGGGTTGCATTTCCACATACAAAATGTAAAAGTTTTGTAAAACAGACTGTAAAGACTTGTATGCAAGTTTCCTGTCCTTTTAGAAAACAATTCCATAATGGGGTCAATAGCAAATCAGGCACATTGTTATGCTTCCCCGACAGCTCTATATTGTTTAACCAAGAGATCACGGTGTTTTATCCTTATGGTGAATCAGATGCATTTTTGTTAAAAGGTCATCATAAAAAATATCTTTCTTTAGTAAAATGTAACACTTTGCTATTAAATAGTAATTAAATGGGAGAGCAATGCCAGATCAAATAAATTCTGTGTTGTTTTTTTTTTTTTTTATATATGTCAAATTGTCTGTAGTAAGTATGTGGATTTTTTTTATGTATTTATGTGATACATTAGTACTTACTGATAAATCATTCAAATTTTTCAAATACATTTGTATCAATGTATAAAAAATATTATTACAGATTAAAAGGTCCGAAACAGTATAATGAAGATACACTGTTGTAAATCCAGTATAATGGTACATTGAGTGACATTATCATGTTGATTAAGAGATTATTTTAAAGAGCAAAATTCTTTATCAAATCTGTAAATAAAAAAGCTTGTGAACTTAAAGCTTTGTGAAAAAAGGGTGAATATTCTTTATGCATAAAATCAATATTTGATATATTCTGTTAGGTGGTAATAAACATCAAATACAAAGTCATTATTTTCATCAAATAAATGCAAAAGAGGTATTTTAATCTAATTCATTTTGTATTTCAAGAGAATATATATATATATGTATACTTAATCCCTCATTAACCCTTTCACCACTTTAGACCATAATGGACTCATCAAGATCAATGTATGGTAGAGTCTACTAAAGTTACCTAGGGGTGAAAGGGTTAAATCCTGGCTCTATTTGGTTGTGGCATCAGGAGGGTGTATGTTACAATCAAGTTTCATGTAAGATATACAAATATTTTAACAGGTATTTTGAATTTTGTTTAAGTTCTTTGAATAGACTTGATCAGAGATTTACATATAATAGAAAACAGGTAAATATATGTATTTCCTTTGAAATGTTGATGGTATACGCATGATGAAGTAGTCTTTTCAAATAGATTTGATCTACAGTATAGCTTGAAGCATTCTTATACACTTTGCATATTGAAAACCTACCTGTAAGTCATGGAATACATGCATTATCAACCTATGGCCAAGAAATCCACCACTGTCAGGTAGATTATTTAAGTTCTATTATGATCACTCAATATCTTTTCTATATTTAATGCATTTTAAATATATACTGAAAAATATTAATTTTAGACTTTATTTTGACTGAAGCAATATAGCTTAGATATGGTCGGTCATTCAAATTATGTTATTAACACAAGACTATGCCTGCAAAACATTATAAAGTGCACAAGGGAGTGCCTCAGTATTTTCTTTAAATGCTTCTATACTTTAAAAAAGTTTCATATTCTGAAAACAATACTCCACTGAACACTATATAGCTGAAACTATTTGTTTGTTCTATTGACAGCTTCTTGTAGTGGAGTTTGCCCATGCATATATATATATATAACTACCAGTTCCCCCCCCCCCCCTGGACATTGTTGTAGTTCATGTTGGTTCAGATGATTTCTGTTAAAACCGGATTACCATGAAAATACTGCCAAAAATGCATACCAATCAGATAGAAAGAATCAGATAGAAAGATATGTTAAACATGGCCAATATGAAAAAGAAAATGGATAAAAATAAATGGGACTGCCTAATCTTGAATGGGACCTGCAGCCTTAAGGTAGAGTTGTCTTTGTATGTGTATCTATATAGAGGAATAACATATAACTTTACCAGGAAAATGTTATTTATAAGCCTGTACGTATACAGTAAAAACATGCAGTGGAAACATGTTGGGACACTTTACATGTATCTAAAGTGTACATAATTCACAATTAATACCGTATTTATCCTACAATAAGCCTAGGGGCCAACAGGTAATCTGTGACTGAAAGTGAGGGGGGATGGGCTTATTACAGGATAATTAAAAAGCTGTTGTTGACTGAAAGTATGGAGATTGAACTATTGCAGGATAATGAAAAACATGTTGTTGGCATTTCTTCCTAACTGCAATATATAAATGTGAGCTTATCACCAAGCATGGGCTTATAGCTGGATAAATAAGGTATATTTGTCACTGCCCATTCCAACCCTTTTGTAAGCACTCCTAGCATTAAGTATGATACTGCAGTGATCAGAGGCTGATGTTATAACATCGTTACTATACTATGTAAAGGAAGGGCCTGGTCTGTTGTTTAAAGGGCAGAATTAATGCTCTTACAATTGTCCAACTGCAGCCACCTGAAAACAGCCATTTAGGTGATTAGTCGCACCACACCTAGGGGCAGCCATTTAGGTGATTGACCATAGTAATTGACCAGAACTGTGATGCTCTCTGAAAACCAATAACATCTCAACATGCCGATATCCTATTATAGCCACATATGTGTCGTGGAAATTCATGCAACTTTCCATAAACAGGTTAATTGTCTATTTGTCCTATATCATATGTATTCTAGAAATACAATGGAACCTTCTTATAATCTTGACATTTTGGTCAAAACAGGCAGAACTAAAAAGATAAAGGGTAGAGACCGCATCAGCTATTATCACAAAGACGAGTGCCATTTAGATTTTTTTTGATCTTGAATATTCTCCCTTTTAAATATAACAGGAAAGAGAAAAGTTTGTTTCCACCAAGGATCGAACCTGCGATCCCAGGCTTCCTAGATGGATATTTTATTACTGAGCTAAAGGGGAATTTGATCCTTCTAGCGCAAAGCTAGAAGGCGACCGTATCCCTATGTACAATAAGAATCGGCCACACTACTCCCTACTTTTTGAATTTGTTTGCCCTTGAACTCCACAACAACCCAGGTTCTAACTCCCTGTCACCTCAGGGAGGGCCACAGACACCATTTTAACAAGAAAAAGAGTTAAGGGTGCTTCCACCGGGGATCAAACCTGCGATCCCAGACTTTCTAGGCGGATGCTCTACCACTGAGCTTAAGGGGAATTCCCTTTAGCGTGAAGCTAGAAGGCGACCGTAATCCTACAATTAAAATCTGCCACAATTAGAAGATGAAAAAACCAAAGGGAGTTTAACTGGCTAAGAGTAACTTCCCCTGTCAAGTTTATTTATATGCCTATAAGCGGCCCATATATACATATTAACTCATTGACCCCTGAAGACTCATTTGGACTCTTCCAATTCAAAGGTTGGAATAGTTCATTCTGGAATTTCAGGGGTGAATGAGTTAAGGACTCTCATTTTGACATACTACTCGTATAAATCCTGTATGTCAATATCGGTAAAGTATAGGCTTTGTAATGTTAAGTCCCGAGTTTTAACCCCTGCTATTAAAACAACTACAATTCTGTAAAATGCATGGCAACATATGATTTTTATGGATTATTTCTTTTGAAAAGGACAAATGTTTCACAATAGTGACAATGATAATAAACTAGTTGGTACCCTTTACCCTTAACACATTCAAGACAGTGGTTTAAAATCTCTAATAGATCATTTTAAAATCATTTACAATAAACACATTTTGCTGGAAGGTGCCTATTATGTAATAAATGTAATAGATTTGGTCTAGTGGTATACTTTGTCTGTAAGTTACAGTATCATTTATCATTAGTGTATGCTAGCTGTATCTTTTGTTGTATTGGGTCACCTAGCCCACCACCTGGGTTTTCTCCTTCTCCCATTTCTTCCCACATTCAGATGTTACATGTAATCAGAATTCTATTTTTTTTGTCTAGATGTTTGTAATAAAAAAATATATCCCCTTTTGTCTTGAAAAAATGTATACATAAGTTTAACTGTAATGAAGACTGCATGCCGTTTTCTCTGTATAATGATATTCCCTAGGTGAACATTGATGTCCCTGTTAATCTGAAGGTGTTAAATGATGTCTCCCCTTTTACATAGGTATACAGTGATGAAGAGTCTCCGGCCTGGCTGCCCTAGGTACATGTAGGAGACTGCAGTGTGGCTATACCCAGTGTGGCTGATACAGGAGCGCTAGGCTGAGTTGATGCGGAAGATATTTGTGTGAGCGGGAGTGACAGAGAGATTGTCGCAGGGACTGTATGGTGTTGTGACACTGTGACAGGCACTGATAATGGTGAGGACATCAATTACAGGCCAACGATACCATCTAAGCCACAGCACAGTTCTACAGCTACATGTATAGGTGTGTGGCCCTGGATCCACACCACAGGTGTGACTCCACACTCTCACTGTCATCGGCCAACTTTCACAACTAGGCTCATTATCAGGCGATGTTGGTGTCGAGGATTGTAAACAAAGTTATTGTGTGCAGTGTTATCACACAGATGCTGCAGCTCACCACAGGAATTAGGCACAAACTAAATGCCATGATTTATAGTTCAAAGAAGTGAGAATTAAAAATTCTAGTTACATTCCAGGGCACCATTATGTAATAGGAAAATAAAAACTTCTGGCATTTGATTAGTTTTGGGACAACTTATCATATTTGTGAAGGACTTAAACAATCTGGAAAGAATTTCATTATTGCATGTGTTCATTTAGCTTCCCAAGTATGAAATATTGGAATATTGAATGGTGCGGATGATGTGACGTTGACTGTGACTTTGTGAGCTGTTCTATGGATGAGATGCTGACACACTATGGGGTCAAGCCCCAGTTCACCTGTTAGAGACGTCACGGAGAAATTTTGGGTGCCGCCAGCGGTGATCGAGAGGAAGCGGGCTCAGAGCTTAGTGCCTGCCCTCTCTCACCATGACAGCGATGACGGTAAGTTTATAGAATTTATGTTATTTGCTTTATATTTCATTACAGTAAAAAGGAAACAAGAAGAATACGCATTGCAAATGATGCAGAGTGTCCTCTGCTGTGTTGGGACATACCAAAGTCTTTAAAAATTGTACCATAGTTGTGCTACACATTCCGTATCGAACAATGATGCATTGGTTGATTAGTGATGACGTCGCGAGATTAGATCATGTTTTGGTAATACTACATGTATCATACCATGTATCATACACCTTCTCCCTATTGTGGAGGGAGACTCCCTTAAATTGAGCATTTTTAACCATTGAATTTGTTTACTGTTCCTTTTCTCTAAGATCTAAAGATTTCATCTGAAAGATGCCATTTCAAAGAGTTATTTTTCCCTAGGGTTTATACACGCACATTTTTTTTCATGTTTATAATTCTTAGCACTCGTAATCATCTCCATGGAAGTTTTAAAAAGTTGGCAAGTATGATGTATTAATTGCTCTGTGAATCGTTTCTGTATCACCATGCAGTAAAAGAAATTGAACATTTTCTATCATTGTAATATTAATTAAAAAAAAATGCCTTGCATTTTAATGAATTAATGAAATACTTCTGTCAGTTGACCTGAAAATTTTTAAAACAGATATGAGAAAATATATCTTCTTTCAATATTACAAAATAAGAAACCTATGAAATGTTTTTTGAGCTCACGGTTAATTAATGAAACATTTGAAAGGTTAGGCACAATTGATTGCATATGTGATTCAGAGTGTTAGACGATACCGTAAATTTGCGGGTATAGTGTGCACTCGGGTATAGTGGGCAGGTACGTTTATGGGGTCAGATTTGAAAAAAAAATGAAAAATGAAAAAACAATGTGAAAAAAAAAATTGGGGGAAAAAATCATGAAAGTAAACGGTATCAAGCTGGAAAAGTAGAATCAAAGGTAGCTTGGTGTTTATAACGCGACTAATTAACGATTGATTTATTGGAGTGAACAGGCCCATGAAGGTCTCCCTCCGTAGTGGATGATGGACGAATCCTGCAGAAATCAAACGAAGTCGGAATGTGTAGCTAATTCCGATGCCAGAGAATCGTCGATCAACTTATGTTTCGACATCTCGGTGGTTTTTGCATAATAATAAAAATGTAGTGTTTCAATTATAGGCTCCGTTCCATGTTAGTTCTGGGTTTTTTTCACAAATCGCTAAGCCTAGTGTGCATGTCTTTCATGTTGATCTTGAGTCCAACACCAAGTGATCGATAACCTCGTGAATTATTTCAATATTTTAAAATGAAGCATCATAAAAATAGTGTATTCTGCTTTTGATTTTTTCCCTTCGTGTATATTTGAAGGGAATGTATTGAATATCCACGCTTCTAGTATAAAGCTATTTGTGTTAGCTCATTACTGCATTGTAATTTGTATTAACTGTGGTGTTGAGAAGTGTCAATAATGGCGATCCTACCTAGTAGCCTATTGTCCGGGATCAGACGGTCGGTGGTTATGGCCTCCGGTCAACTTACCTATAAAAATGTTACCTGTGCCCAGCTAGTCGCCAAACCAGCAGTCATGACAACAGATTACCGATTTTAAATTTACGGTAATTTTAAACTTTTCAAGGGAGATAAATCTAACACACGTTACAAGAACAGTGTGATACATAGTGCATCGTTTATCCTTAACTCTTTCACCCCTGAAATTTTATGATGAACTATACTTACCTTTGAATTGGAAGAGTTCAAATCTGTGTTGAGGGGTGAATGAGTTAACAAATACCAAAACATTTACTTTTAATACATTCAGTTGATCTATCCCAGACAATTTTCTATTCATTCATAGCCTATGCATGCCAAATTTAATGTAACATTCAACGTGAATCATTACTTTTTGATCTCATAGAAAATTAATGGATTTATCTTCATTCAACATTTAACTGAAGTAAGTGTATATATTATGTGTGCTTGTTTAAAAGAACAGCTGTGTTCAAGGGAGGGTAAGTGGTATATCCAGTGTTTTTATATGTTACCAGGTATAAGTATTATGATAGTGATGTCAACATGGTCCCTCCCATAACATTTATAGCTGATATGAATTCCATCTAAAGTTTATAGTGTTATGAAGTGGAAATTCCGCAGAGTGGAAAGTTTACACTATTTCCACTTGTTTCTCCCAATATGTAGTAACCTCCAATATATCTACGAGAAGGACCAAGTCATTCATGGTCATTAAGTACTGTCATTAGAACCTGGCAAATGGGATTGTATGGGTGCAAGAGCATGAAATACAGCAAGTAAAAACTCATATATGCATAATTTTAATTATTAAAACTGTGTAATCAATGGTTAGTCCTGATCAGTCAATGATTAAAGGGTTGGTACGCAAGGCTTAGTTTCTGTTCGGAAAACTTCAAACAGATTTGTACCTTGATTTAGATATTTTTTCAACTTAAATAGTATTCCAGAATTCTGTCTCAATTTAGTAAATGCTGACTAAGACTTACATAGATAAAAGTTGGATGTGTAACTGATAAATTGTCATTCACAACAAACGTTGTCCAACTGATCGACTATAGTGATGTCCCAATTGATCTGTTATAGCGATGTCCCCATTGATCTGTTATAGCAATGTCCCCATTGGTCTGTTATAGTGAGGTCCCCATTGATCTGTTATAGTGATGTCCCCATTGATCTGTTATAGTGATGTCCCCATTGATCTGTTATAGTGATGTCCCCATTGATCTGTTATAGTGATGTCCCCATTGATCTGTTATAGTGATGTCCCCATTGATCTGTTATAGTGATGTCCCCATTGATCTGTTATAGTGATGTCCCCATTGATCTGTTATAGTGATGTCCCCATTGATCTGTTATAGTGATGTCCCCATTGATCTGTTATAGTGATGTCCCCATTGATCTGTTATAGTGATGTCCCCATTGATCTGTTATAGTGATGTCCCCATTGATCTGTTATAGTGATGTCCCCATTGATCTGTTATAGTGATGTCCCCATTGATCTGTTATAGTGATGTCCCCATTGATCTGTTATAGTGATGTCCCAATTGAGATGTTTTAGCAATGTCCTCATTGATCTGGTATAGTGATGTCCCCATTGATCTGTTGTAGTGATGTCCCAATTGAGATGTTTTAGCAATGTCCTCATTGATCTGTTATAGTGATGTCCCCATTGATCTGGTATAGTGATGTCCCCATTGATCTGTTATAGTGATGTCCCTATTGATCTGTTATAGTGATGTCCCATTGATCTGTTATAGTGATGTCCCCATTGATCTGGTATAGTGATGTCCCCATTGATCTGTTATAGTGAAGGTCCTCATTGATCTGTTATAGTGATGTCCCCATTGCTCTGTTATAGTGATGGTCCTCATTGATCTGTTAAGTGATGGTCCCCATTGATCTGTTATAGTGATGTCCCCATTTATCTGTTATTGTGATGTCCCCATTGATCTGTTATAGTGATGTCCCTATTGATCTGTTATAGTGATGTCCCCATTGATCTGTTATAGTGATGGTCCTCATTGATCTGTTAAGTGATGGTCCCCATTGATCTGTTATAGTGATGTCCCCATTGGTCTGTTATAGTGATGTCCCTATTGATCTGTTATAGCGATGTCCCCATTGATCTGTTATAGCAATGTCCCCATTGGTCTGTTATAGTGATGTCCCTATTGATCTGTTATGGTGATGTCCCTATTGATCTGTTATAGTGATGTCCCCATTGATCTGTTTAAGCAATGTCCCCATTGATCTGTTATAGTGATGTCCCCATTGATCTGTTATAGTGATGTCCCCATTGGTCTGTTATAGTGATGTCCCTATTGATCTGTTATATTGATGTCCCTATTGAACTGTTATAGTGATGTCCCCATTGATCTGTTATATTGATGTCCCTATTGATCTGTAATAGTGATGTCCCCATTGATCTGTTCTAGTGATGTCACATTGATCTGTTATAGTGATGTCCCATTGATCCGTTATTGGGATGGCCCCATTGGTCTGTTATAGTGATGTCCCTATTGATCTGTTATCGCAATGTCCCCATTGATCTGTTATATTGATGTCCCTATTGATCTGTAATAGTGATGTCCCCATTGATCTGTTCTAGTGATGTCACATTGATCTGTTATAGTGATGTCCCATTGATCCGTTATTGGGATGGCCCCATTGGTCTGTTATAGTGATGTCCCTATTGATCTGTTATCGCAATGTCCCCATTGATCTGTTATAGTAATGTCGCCATTGATCTGTTATAGTGAGGTCCCTATCGATCTGTTATAGTGATGTCCCCATTGGTCTGTTATAGTGATGTCCCTATTGATCTGTTATAGTGATGTCCCAATTGATCTGTTATAGTGATGTCCCCATTGATCTGTTCTAGTGATGTCACATTGATCTGTTATAGTGATGTCCCCATTGGTCTGTTATAGTGATGTCCCCATTGATCTGTTTAAGCAATGTCCCCATTGATCTGTTATAGTGATGTCGCCATTGATCTGTTTTAATGATGTTCCTCATTGATCTGTTAATAAATGGCCCCCATTTATATATTATAGTGATAGCCCCTATCGATATGTTATAATGATGCTCCCATTTATCTGTTATAGTGTTGGCCCTATTGATCTGTTAAAGAGAATTTCCATTGATTTATCATATTAGGCAGGACATCATTAAATGAATTCCTGGTATTGAATTTAGTAAGCATTCTTGTCAATACTAATTCAGTAACATTAAATAACCTTGTAAATGAATTACAGATAATGGACTTTCAGTAAACTGCAGGAAATTGTGTTAGAATCTTGTACATTTAGAGAATGTCACTTATTATTAATTCACAATATTTTACATAAAAATTAGATATTTACATATAAGTTATATTTCATGTCTCTTTTGAAATGTAAATATTGCCATCCAAAAGTGTTACAATGATATGAATATATATAAAACACTACACGTATAAATTCCTACTTCTCACCTTTCTGTACTTTCCTCCACTA